TCCCTGGAACTATGGGGGTGACGTCTACTACCACGGCGTCAAGCAAGACCTGCTGGCTGTTGAAGACCATGTTTCTGACAATGTTGATCCCAACATTGACAACATTGTTGGAACCAGCAAAATAACAAGAAGTGGAAGAGTGTTCTCCCCTGAGATTTCTCCTCTGAAAGTTGTTACTGGTCCTGTGATCCTTCCTACTTTTGTTCTTGCTGATACTACTACTACAATTCATGTGATTACCCCTGCTGACACCCCTATCATCGAGTCGACCGAGACTCGAGGCAAAGACATATTGGTTGAGCCTGTCCAAACAAAGGCGCATTCGGTATCTATCCCAGAGGCTTCCAAGAAGGAGATGGAAGAAATTTTGAAAATTATAAAGAAGAGCAACTATAATGTGGTCGAACAACTAGGGCAGACCCCTTCCAAGATTTCTATGCTAGCCTTACTGTTGTGCTCCGAAGCTCAAGCAAAGGCTTTGGTGAAGTTCCTTAAGACTACCTGTTGTACCCCAAAATTTTCCCTCCCTTTTCATCAACATTTTCTCATCACAAGACTCTTGGAACTCAAGATCAAGTTAGGGTTTGCTCTGCTCAAGACCCCTCCTCGCATTGTTGACCCAAATTAGGGTTTGAGTTTACACAGGGATGTTTTGACCTAAAATTCCCAAAATGACTTTCACGCTTCATGTTGGACTCATAAGTCTATCCATACCATGTTTCAAGCCTTGATTCCAATCTTTGCCCAGTCAATTGGACAGTTGACCTAGAAATCAGCTGTATTGGGGAAAAAGTCAATTGTGGCTAATTGACAGTCAAACCTCATGATTTTTGACCCACATCAACATTATGAACTCATATGAATCATTTGATCAAGTTTGGATCACAACTCCACAAGAAATTTGATCAGATCACCAAAAGGGCAAAATGGTCATTTTTAGGGTTTTGACTACACAAAGGCAATTTTTGACTGTTTGACCTAACCAATGGCAAACCAAGCTCATATATGGACTCAAGGACTCAATGGCATTGTCTTGACCCATTCAACAAGTTCAAAAGATCTCAAATGCATAGGATTGACAGATGAATTTTTCAGTCAACTGATCAAAATTTGACTGTATACTGAAAAGTCAAACTTTGACTTTTTGGTCAAAATCAAGTGCCAAGATTCATTTTTCATCAAGACATGTCAAATTATGAAACTTGTTCATCAAGAAACCCAAGATTTCAAATTAGGGTTTAAAATGAAAATTTTCATAACTTATAAATTTTCTAAGTTATGAAATTTTCTTATTTTTTCCTAACTTTGTCCCATTTTTTAACCAAGATGCAAATGGATTCAAACAAAACTTGAAACATGAAAGTTGTAGTCCATTGCAAAATCTACAACTTTTATTCACAAAGTTTTCTCAAAGGAAGCTTGTATCTCAAGTTATGAGTTTTGGAACAAGGGTACAAAACATTTTTAACTTAGAGAAATTTTGCCCTATTCTAGGCAGGATTTTTGTCCAACTTCTTGGCCATTTTTCACATAGTTCCAAGAGGAATTTCAAGATGCATTACAAAGATGGATTGTATTACATGTTCGAAGCTTTCCAAATTGTCCAAGAACTCCTAAAACACCCTTGTGGTTAGAGATAATCGAATTCACAAAGTTGGCCAACACTCACTTTTGTTCATTTTCCATACATGTTCATAGCAAATGGCATTTTCAAATCAGCTTGGTTTATGCTAGCTCGCAGGCCTCAAAACCCATTTACACTCCATAATTTAATGCCTAACCATTATGTCAAGGTTTTATTTTGTTCATTTGGACATTGCACACAAAATTAAGCCTTAAGTAGTAAAAGGTGAATTGCCATTTTTGCTTAAAGTTGCTTTATGTCAAATACCAAATCCTTGAGGCATGGGGCCAAATCTGAGAGCCAAATCAAATCTACACATTCCAGTTACCAAGAGCTTTGTTTTGCTGCATACATTAGGCATTGTACTGGCTTGTATCCAAACACACACTCTCTTACTTACATTTGAAGCAACTTTGCAAAAACACTCCAACTTCCATTTCCTGTCAACACAGCCAAGAACAAACCTTGTAAACATATTCCATACACCCAAACAGACCTAAGGCACGATTCAACCATCCCTCATACCTCCCAAAACACAAAAACACTGTTTTTCTGCAAAAACAGGGTATCCCTGCAGTTTGACTTGCATAACATCATTCACTCGTGCATTTTGGCCAAAAGAAGTTCCAACACATTCCTTTCCATCTACCTAAACTATTCCAAGCCCTAAACACAAGCTGTAACACCCCTAACCTCACTTGCCATTTTCACTTTTCAGTTTTGCAGGTGGACTTCTATAGCATGATACAGGTTGATTCAAAGCAAGCTAGGTGTGGGAAAAGATTCCTTGGACCTCAGGCAAGCTATACAGAAGCTCAAACTCCATTGAAGTTGGCCACATTGCTGTACACGATTCAAGCTGAAACAGGTAATCCA